AGAGAGAGAGAGAGAGGAGAGAGAGATTTTGGCAAGTTGCCCATTTCACTGAGCGTGCGACTTGAGGTGGCGAGCGGGGGACAACTGCCTACCCGCTACAACATCGGCTGGGGATCCAAGCTGCCAGGTTTTTGTTGTCAGAATCGGTGATAGCGAAAAGCACGCGAATACAGGGAATTCGTGCACGGCGGCAGCCACGGTTGCACTGTGCATCCTGAGTCGATTCGGTAAGATCCTCCGACCGTCCAAACAAGTGAAATCGGAACTCACAGGTGTGCTCTTGCTNNTACCGGACCGCTGCACTGTCATGGTTCTCCTGAGGGTTGATTTTTAGAGTTTAGGTCCGGTATCTTGCGCCGCGGGGTTAAAGGTGCTGCCAGTATGACTCATGCTGCTGAGTGGCTGCAGTGGGTTTGGGGCGGTTGAGCCAAAGCTTGAGAATTACCTACAGATTGGTGAGGCCAAGTTGTGTGGCCCAGTGGTCTGTCAAATCGAGACATCGAGAGACTAAAAAGGATTCAGTCTTGAAAGCACCTGAAGGAGCTAAATTTAAGTTGTCATAACGGAGATATATACTCCTCAATTTTCTGTGCCGCTTCTTTGAGCATAGCGTTCGGGATTGCAGATGTGCCAAAGAGGACACATGGACATACAGTGCAGTTCCAAGCTCGCTCCCTAAAGCCGTGAGGGAAAGCATTGTGAGGAGAACCTGTCCTTGGCCGACTGCCACGAGATTCGTTGGGAGTTTGCGGAAGTGGCAGCCTGGTGTATCTTCATTACATTTGCCTTCAAGCCCCATGCCCATGTTTTCAGACGACTCCACGCAGCTTCGAGGCTCGTGACATGGATCCCACCGTCCGGCTGCTTTTTGCGCTTGCCATGAGGTCGCCACGAAATCAGGGCTTTCTTGCAGTGTGGGATGTTAGCATTGGCAGAGACCGTAGCCGTAGTCATAGTAGTGGCAGGACTGCAGTTGCTGTGGCAGCACAAATTGGGAAACGGTAGGAGCGTTGCAAGCAGCAGCAGCAGTAGCTCTAGAATGGACAGCCCAAGCCTGAATCGGAGCTTGCAGCCTAGAAGTCCTCCAATACCTATAGCATCCTGTATCATTCTTGTCTTTAAAATTTGTTTGGATGCCTCAACCGCCTCAACCATCGAGGGCCTGGGACCGGGGCGCGCGCCCTGCAGCTGCCATGCTCTTTGCGCTGCTCAGCGACGTGGGCGTAGGGAGCCCAGGCTCTAGGGTGTAGGGTTTAGGGTCTAGGGCTCTACCCGCGGCTAGCCTCAGCATGGCTCGGGCTTCAACGGCTTTCAATGCCGGTATCAATAACATAGCATGTGAGTAGCTCTCTAAATTGGAGTCCCTCTGGGAGGCTCATTTTTATAAGGGTGCCGTACTATTTTGGGGACCGAAAATGGGACCCTAATTTCGTGAGCTACCCATATCGGAAGCGCTGATGAACTCGACCGCCCTCAACCCTTAAGCTCTTCTGCGCCCTGGCTGCTTTCCTTCGGGTGCACTGATGCCTGCCCAAGTTGCCGACTGCGAATCAGGATCTTAACTCAGAATCCAGAATCCTAAACGCCCAACCTGCGTCAGACATACCCCTAAACCCGGGACCTCATGAATCCCAACTCCTAAACTTGTAATCTGAGTTGCGGGAGCCCAGGCCCTTGTATACCGCAAGCCTCAAATCCTAAGCCCTAACTGGGCGCCGAAAGTATGTTAGTAGAATACTAGCCTTTAATGGGTTTTGGGCTATTATTTTACCTACTTTTGGGGGTTTAGGCAAGCCTTAAAGCGATCATCGACAACTTTGCGGCATGGTGCTGGTAGGCATATGTTCAGCTGTGTGCAGTTGCCTTGGCTCAGAGCCGGTACCCATCGTGGGGCTGAGGAGCAACGTAGGGGCCTTTTTAATAGGAACTCGAAGGAACTCTGTTCTCATTATTCCCAAGGCCCCCCCCCCTACTTCGTGCTGATTTGTTGCATGATGCTGTCCTGCTTTGTTCTCATTGTTGCCTTTGGTTGTTGCTTCTGCGCGATTGGGTGACGACATGTATCAGTAAGAGTCACCTTTTGTGCAAGCTGCGATCTACGAAACATTCAGCAGACGACAACGGGCGGATGGGAGCTGGATGCAGTGTGCAACACTAGCATCAACCTCAAACCCCAATCCGAAGAGGGTAATA